TCGATCCAAGGGAAAAGGATCTCTCCACCAAGCTTTCAATCCGCTGGTGACCCCATGGACGATTGGTACGAAATTTGGAATCGGATCCCGTAAGTGAAGTCACTCTGGTATCAATCATAATATCCGAACACTTCTAAAAGTGTTGTCTCTTATCTTTTCTTTGTGTAGCAAGCACCAGCAATGCTGCTGCTGCCGCGGCCATAAGCAAACGTGTCACAGGTCTGAACCATATAGCCGTAACCGTCGGGCGGGATCCTGTCCTATGGAGGAGTCTTGATTTGAGAATGATCATCCTCTGTCTCTCGAACTCCCATTATTTTCTTTATTATGAAACAATTCAGCAGTCAACCAAAATGATGCAAGTTTTTATCTACTTTACACCACAATACGAGATGTGGGCAGATTCTTTTAAGTTGTTTTGGATGATTGTAGTTTTTTTCTCTATTTCTTCTTTACTCCCACCTGATACAAGATGTGGCCGGATTCTTATATGTTTGAGAGTAAATGTTCTAGTCTTTCGATCTGGTTAAGTTATGAGTTATGAGTTTGTAATACATATATGTTTATAATGAAAGCGTTAGTGATAAACACTATCGAAATCAAATACGTTGTGTGATTTTTGTACCTGACTTTGAGGAGCAAATGGATCATTCAGGCTTAAAAGTCATTTTCAAAGATGAAGATGACGAGGTATGGCAAAAAGTCAATAACGAACTTTGTGCGAAACACAAAGAAGCATATAATTCAACGTGCACAAGTCAAATTTCCTTCATGTTTGTAAAATATGGGTAACTTATATGTCTGAAATATAAGAAAACACCTACATTGTAGGATCGAAAGTGTTTTTACAAGGTGAAGACCACGAGCTATGGAAAAAAGTCGATAATGAAAGCTGTTCGAAATGTAAAGAAGTATATAACTCAACGTACAAACATTGGATTTCGGTCATCTTCTTTGACTTTGTGTAGGTTTTATACGTGAGTGGAAATAAAATACCTACATTGTAGTTTTGAATTTGTTTTTCGAAGGTCAAGATGACGAGATATGGAAAAAAGTCAATAACGAAAAATGTCCGCCGTAAAAAGTTGAACATGAATCAACGTCCAAACATCGTATTTCATGCATACTCATAGACTTAGTGTAAGTTTTATATCTGAAAGATAAGAAAAATACTACATTGTAGGTTCAAAAGATGTTTTCAAAGGTGAAGATGACGAGCTACGGAAGAAAGTCAATAATGGAAAATGCGCGCCTTAGAGAGGAGCACATATACTCACGTGCAACCATCGAACTTGTCTCATCTTGATGGACTTTGTGTACGTTTGGTACGTGACCGTAAGAAAAAACTTACATTTATGCGAATGAAGTGTCATTTCGAAGGTGAAGATGACGAGTTATGGCAAAAGTTCATTAATGAAAAATGTCCGCGATGCAGAAAAGTACATAAACTCACATGCAAACATAGAATTTGTGCATTCTTCGCTATGTTTGTGGGAAATATGTGTTAAATTTTGTATCAAAATCGATGGAACGTGTTTTCTGGGAATCTTTGCACAACTCTCCTTATGGATATCTGGTACAACTTGAGCACAAAGTCGGCATAGACATTACGAAGACATCACAAAATGTATATTTGCACATGAGTTTATGTACTTCTTGGTATGGCGGTCATTTTTCATTAATGACTTTTTCTCATAACACCTCATCTTCAACATCGAAATTCACTTTCGATCCAGAAAGTGGTGTATTTCCTGGGTATTCAGGTATAAAAGTCACACAACGTCTATGAAGATGACACCAACTTGATATTTGCACGTTGAATAATATGCTTCTCTGCAGCGCGCGCATTATTCATTAATGATGTTTTCTCATAAATCGTCATCATCACCTGCAAAAAGCACATTGAATCAACAAAAACCGGCATTTTTCTTGATCTCAGGTACAAAAGTCTCACAACTTATATGAATATGAAGGAAGAACGCTTCTTGTATTTTGAAATGTATGCGTCTTCGTATTTCGGACGTTTATTATTATTGACATGGATCCATAGCTCGTCATCTTCAACTTCGAAAAACAACTTTCATCCTTAAAATAAGGTAATTTGGTATCACTCTTGGTATAAAACGTACACCAGGTGTACGTTTTTGAAGCAAGTTGAATGTTTCAACATTTTACGTTTATGCTTCTCTGCTTCGCGGACATTTTTCATTAAAGCACTTTTGCCATAACTCGTCATCTTCACCTTTGAAAATGACTTTTGATCCTAAAATGTAAGTGTTTTCTTCGCTTTCAGATAAAAAACTTGCACGAAGCCTATAAGTATGAATGACTTCCGATGGTTGCACATTGGTTCATGTGCTTATTTGTACGGCGCACATATTTTGTAATTGACTTTTGTCCATGTCTCGTCATGTTCACCTTCGAAAAACAATTTTGAAGGTAGGATGTAGGTATTTTATGGTCACTATTACACGAAGTCTTGGAAGATGCAATGCATGAATTATAGTTTTGATGTGCATTTCTTATGATGAATATATCAAACTCATTTCATATGATAGACTGAAAGACATATCGTACATGAACAACATAAAGAGGAAAAAAATACAACACACAACAAAAAAATAGTATAAAAAGGCTTATATTATCAAGATGGCTCTTTGTTTCCTACAGCATGAATAATATTTTGCATCATGCCTTCATCAATTCCCTGTGCCCATTCCTCCTCGTTGATGTCAGACAAATCTCCATCCTCAGGCTCCTCAGGTCCACCTTCTCTAACACCATCAGGTATGATATCGTGTTGAACTGGAACTCGAGGCATTAGATGCTCAAAGTCCCCAGCTTTAGTCGAACCAAAGCCATTCGACCGTAGTCCTTCCATCTTCCGAAGTTGCAACTGCCATTGAGCCAGCAATTGCATATCGCCTACCTGAGCTTCAGTTTTCAAAAAGACCTCCTTAATCTTAGAATTCCACCTGAAACTTAACCTGGCGACCCTGGTCAATTCGTTGTGAAGGACGCCTTTGACAATAGATACCTTTGCGTGTAATGAAGCTGAACTGATGATATTGTGTTCTAGGAAAGGTTGAATGGCATCCGGGAGGATGTCTGAATGCGCAAGATGTTCCAGAATGTTCCAAAGACGGTCAAAGGAAGTTGTTGCCCAACGCATGGCTCTTCGAACCTCCCAACCTACCCTGCGATGCTCTTCGCGTCCTCGTTGTAATCGAGCAATGGCTCTCATTCCCATCTGAGTCGCATGATCTAGTGCCCAAGGTTCGTGCGAGTGCGTAAAGATCCCGTTGTTCCAGAAAGGATCGTCAGGTTTGAGTTCAAGAAGGTCAATATATTCGATTACTGGAGATGTTGGATGTTCAGGAAACTTGTCAGCAAATTGTTGTGCCATATTGTTATAATTTGTCAACGCTTTCTTCATAGTTCGTGTTCTTTTTTGAATGGCGTCCATAATTCGCTCCTTCTCATGAGTACCTTTTGAAATAGGACATTGGATTCAGTGTGAAATCCACAACTCAGTTTGTTGAGAGGACTTACCAAGATGCGAGCTACCACCAACTCTGTTTTCGGGGTCCAAAGGCCTTTGTTCTGCCCTCAAAGCAAGAAATCTGCGGCGTACCTCAGTCTTAGCAAACCAGACCTTCAATAATAAATCAACAGCGTCCTCTTCAAATTGTTAAACAAAAAAAACATTAAAATTCAATTAGAGATATGAGCACGAGTGATTGATAAGAGGAATGTTGCTGAGAGGGTTCCTGTTACTTACTTGATAGATGAGTAAAACAATCAGGCAAACCCACTTTCTGACGCTGTGCATCTATTTCGATTCCGAGCTGTTGAACCCGTTCCAGCCAATCAGCAGCTCGCTCCTCATGAGTTCCATCCTCCAGCCTGTGATTGATTAAACTTGGATTTAGTCACAGCTGTCATTCTCGCCCTGTTTGGCTGAAGAAACACACACCAAACCTTATAATGTAAGTCCTCGAGGCACAGTAACCTACCCAATTCAATCTGTTGGCGAATCTTGATATCTTTTGAATTCTCGATGTTTGCTCGTCTTTCGGATTCCCATTGCTTTCGGAAGAAAGCCATGGTATATTTGCGGCCAGGCTCGTAAGGGTTGGCCTTTTGACACCAATGGTCCAACGTTGCTTGAGCTTCTTTGATTGTAATTGATACCTTGAGAAGTCGTCTTAAGAGCCAATCCGAAGTACTAAGTTGAAGACAGTACATTAGGTATCTGGCCAATATGTCTATTGCTTGCAGCCAATGTAATCGTGTTGAAGTTCGTAACCCGGCAATCAGGCGCGACAGGAAGGACCAATTCCTTTCGAGTCCTTCACCGTCTGATAAACCCCAGTAGTCGAGATACCTGGGGTTGTAGAGCAGTTGGCATGCCCATGTATGAACGTAGGCATGGAAAACCGATGTTCCTAACATGATTCGAGCTTGATGTTCAGGTAATAAATTGTGCTAATGTATATATAGAGTAAGTAATAACATATTCAGTCAGTTTTTATTGACGTATCAATACTTCACCTATCCTATTATATATGAGAAACATACCACTCTGATATGTTTGTCGAGGTGACATCCGATGTCATACAATACACCGAACCGGCTGAATGGGAAGTCGTCCATGATATGCTTCATTAAGCTAAGCGGGTAGTACAGCCTAGTGAAAGAGAACATTTGCGTCAGTAAATCAGAATTTGTATAACATAATCACCTTCTTACTTTTCACCGCTTTGATATATGTTTGCCATGACTAATGGAACATCGTGGCGACAGGCTGCTGCGAACAAACCGGTGTCATCGCATCGGTCCCAGGTTGAGGAACTTCGAGTGTCATTTGCAGTCTTGTGGGATTCAGAACAAGGATCCTGTGGTTTATTTAAAAGTCAGTATATGTAATAACTCTTGCACTTTGATTTTAATGAGAATAACTTACTTCAGTCACTGCCACGTTCCCAGAAGCAAGAGCGGCAACCAATTTGGCATCTTGTTGTCGTATTTTGCTTGGCTTGATGAATAAGGGCGGGTATTTGCTCTCGTCTGGCTGGTCTTTGCTGGCGAGAACATTATGTCAATGTTGAAAGTTACCGTCCATACATATAATGAAATCGGGCTCTTGGTCTGATCCCTTCGTCTCATTTTGCGCCGGGCCAAAACATCGAGGGCATTGGTCGGCCCAAAGATCCGTATTGGTCAATTGAAGTCCTTCCTTGAGCAGCTTGTTCGCGAGGACAGTGATCCGGGTGTAAAGATGAGTAGCGCTGGTGAATGGTTGTGCAAGATTGCGCCTATTGCCATGTCCTCCTTTAGCTAGAAGAGGTCTAGAGGACCGCTTGTCGAGGAAGTTGAGGTGGCCTTCAATATAGCTTGACCTCGCAGTAACCGAGGTGAGCCACAAGTCGTGATGTTGCTGTAATAATGGAATTGAAAAGGCGGTGCGAGGTTGCGTGGGTGAAGCGGCTAAATAACCTCGATATATGAGCTGAATGGGTTCGGGTAAGCAGGGACAGAAAGGGACCGGGACAGAGTTTGATCGTCCTGAGGGGTGGAAGGTCAGTTTCAAATATTAGGATACAATTTCATTAAGTGAAAGCCTTACCGAGAATGTCAATTAAGTCTATCTTGCGAATATGAAACAAACCTGCGGCACACTGGCAGTCCGGGCTTATAATAACATCAAGGTATGATGTTTCTGTGGTCCAGTTCAACGTAGTGACTTTGTTTTCAAGATAGACAGCGGTGATCTGGTTTTCGAGGGCTTCCCATTGCTTTCGAAGAGTTTCACGTTTTCTTGCATAACGAAATCCTCGATGTTTTTGAACAAATCGTCGAATGGCACCATCCCGATCAAAGTCTTCTATATCAGTCCAAGGATCATTGCCATCATCATCGGGTGGATCGGGATCATCTCCGTTCATAAGCATGAGTTCATTAAGCAACATGTCGTTGATATCGGGTTGTTCAAGATCTCCACGTTCGTCCAGAGGATCGTGATCGTCACCAGCTAGCTCGTGAGGATGGTGTGGTGGGCCGCGGAGGAATTGTTTCGCATCTAGGACCTTCTTCATAAACTTGGCTTCGGCTCTAGCCTCAGCTTTGGGATCGGGTTTCTTTCGACACTTCTTAGTTTTTTCCTCCTTAACGTTGGTGATGTTACCTCCAAGTTTCCTGCCGCTGCGACCTCCCATATTGAGCACCGGGAATGGTTGAAGGTGAAGGGTTGTTGTTATTGAAGATAGTGAAGTGAGAACAAATTCGAACTTGTGGAACTTGGTGATTTGAAGTGTTCAAGGCCGTGTGATCTGCGGCTGCACCACGGCTGACGGTGCGGTGGAGTTTGGTTGTCTCAAGATTGGCCATGCGTGCCTGAGGTTATCACCTACGGACTTGGAGTTTTCAGAAAGGCCGGTACATATGTATTTAAATTGAGTGATATGTAAGAAGGATTCGAGTGAGTTTGAGATGAAGGAAATAGGATCTATGTACAGTCAGGAAATGCAGTTTTCTTACTGTTTGTATAGGTGAGATACTAACGATAGTGGTGTCCTCCCCAAGGACATCGCGAGGATGATTGCAAGAGATCCTCGCGATGTCTTTTGGGTTCTGGCTGTCAACACTTTGAGTCCGGTTGACACATAAGACAGAACCCTGAGACGAGTCCCACACCTTGCCCAGACCTTGACAGTGGTCCGAGATTGAAAGAAAGTCTTGTTGAAGGACTTCTCATAAGAGGACCTCGTGCGTTGGCATCTTTCTCTTTCTCCCCCTTCACCAATTTTAAACTCGATCATTTTTCTACCTTCAGACTACGTTATATCTTCTCATCAACCTTTGCTGTTCGGCCTCGTTTGGCCTCGTTCTATGGCCATGTTTGTTCCTTCATGTTCTACAAATTTGTGCCCTTCATCTTACCATCCACTTCACAAGTCAATTCAATACTTATGAGCAGGTCTCTTTGTTCATCCTTTTATCTTTACAATCCCTCAATTGACCCTACTCTCTTTTATACAAGTCTCAACTCGATTTTTTTGTCATTGTTTTTTCTTTCTTTTTTTTCAACTGTTTGTACTCTTCTTTTTAATGATCCCGATGGATGAAATCACAAGGTCACACTTGCTTACTATGTATCAATGTAACCAATTGCCCCAAATCGAGAACTACAAAAGGTCGCACTGGGCTAGCGGAGGTCGCACTGGGCTGCGCTTCCTGCACCCAGGGGCCTGAACCCAATTCAAAGCGGCCCAAACCATTTGAACTACATATTTGAATGTAGTTGGTCATTCAAACAGCTCTCTCAGCTATTACGGAACCTAAAGCAAGGATATTGCGCCGATATCCTTGATCTCATCCGCGCAACCTCCTCTGTGAGGATGATCAACGGAGATCGGCCGGATCTCCGTTGGATGTCGCCAGGCAGGATATCCGCCGGATGACCTGATTGGACTGTAGTGTACCATCTTTGCCTTTCTTTTCTTTTAAGATTTGAGGTAAGTATTACAAGAAAACTATAAGTGTACCATAAAACGATGGGAAGATAAGTGGGTGATCCTAGAAGTGTCTAAATATCAGGTGAATCAAAACCAGAATCCAAACCTGTCTCCATGATCATCCCGGTTCACAATACTTAGACCCTCTAATCTTATTCCTGGATCCCAGACCAAAAACCCTGATCCACAATTTCCAAACACACAAGTTCTTGATACCCTTAAATCCACACACATTTAAATTACAAAAAAATAGGAAAATAAATAATATCAAACAAACCTATTCAAACAAACCAAAGCATACCAGAAACCTCAAAAAGGTTGAACAAACCAAGACCAAGAAACAATCGAATTCATCTTTCTCTCACATTCTATTCCTTAAAGCTGAGGGATCTCATAATTGTAATCCCAAACCACTCACTCAGAACCAATCCATACCCTTTTAGTTTGATTTTCAAACTTTACAATCACAAGTAGTACAAACCAAAAAAAAATCCAAAGCAAAAAAACCCAAACTTTTTCTTGATTATCACCAAAGTAGAATTTCTTTTCTAAATCACCAATCAAGTAATTAAGAATTGAGAAGAAGAAGGTTTGAGGTTTGGTTGATCATTTTAATAAGATTGGTGTTCAACAGTTTTCTCAGAGTGCAGGTTTGTCTCTCACTCTCACTTATATCTTTGTTTCCTGGCTACATAATTTAGAGAATACAGATACCAGGAGGTGCTCTGGTGCTCTATTTGAGACCACCGCCTTTATTTCTTAAAAAGCTTGTAATCAGCTCTCTAGACTGGCCCCTTATGTGGGATAGGCAAATTGATGAAATACAGCATCAAAGGAGGCAGTCAAGTCTTACACGGAAAGCTGGGTTTAGTCAAATCCTTCTTTTATATTTCGTTTGTACACACTAACTTTGAAAATATTTCATAGATTTAAAATTAGTTTTGATTTTAATCAGATCTGATCAGTTTCGTTGGTCACCACAACTTTTTATTTCTTATGATTCTTTTCCTTTAGATACGATTAATTTAATTGAATCCAGTTGAAAGAAAAATGCCAAACCCAAGTACTGTTTTTTTCTCCTCTTGTATAATCTTACTTTCCTTTTTACAGATGTTTGGGTGAAGAACAAAAGGTTTTAGATTACTTTAGTATAAAAAATAAAAATGTGATGGAAGTAGTGAAATGATTCTAATATATATATTGCTTTTTTGAAAACTTCTTTTAATGATCAAATAAAGAAACTTATGGTAAAAGATCGAAGAAAAAATCTGTTTCTTTTTCTAAGATGTAGCCATTATGATTTATATATGTGAAAAAATGATACAAAGATTTGATTCATTTTTGAGATTTTTTCATCCTCTTTATATGATCGTTAATAAAATACCTTTTTGTTGATCAAAATCCAAAATCCAAAAAATATTCATTAGATTTTCACTGGATCAAAACAAAAAGCAAAAGAAATCCGAAAAAAACATCATTTTGACTTACTTGGATAAAATCGATTCATCCATGAATTTAGCACCTTCGATTCTACCCAAACATTTCTTGGATTGACATTGACAACTGATTATAGACGAAAGGAAAAAACAACGAGAATCAGTTTTAAAAGATTTCGACTTATTTTCTTTGACCAAAAGAAAACGGTGCTTTGGAAAAATTCGGTTTAAAGATGATGTTTTGATGAAGCAGAAAAAGAAAAGAGAGAATGATGAACTTAACTCAAATGGTTGTGTCATTTCCCACTCAGTACTAAAATAAGCAAAAGTCAAAGGCTAAACCCCAACCCCAAAGAAAAAGAAAATTTCAATCATGATCCAAAAAACCAAAATAGAGTCGAAAGAAATCAACTGACTTGACCTTTTTTAATTTCACACAAAGATTTTAAAACCCATTGATGTTGATCTCTACCCACGATTCCGTTTTCCAAAACAAAAGATACATTCGGTTCACAGGAATGGTTGATGTAAACTAAATCTGAATTTAATTCTAGGTGAATTAATCGATCTGTTGGGGTTTCTTCTTTGAATTGGATTGATGTGTATGCTTTTGTTTCGGTGAGCTTTTGTAAAAGAAAAAACAAGAAAACGGATTAGGTTTTTAGGATGGGAGAGGTGAGAGGTAAAGAGGTAAAGAGGAAATGGTAATGGGGTAAAGAAAGGTAAACTAGAATTACTATAGTTTCGGGTCCTAAAGTGGCCAGAATCGAATCAGGAGCAAAAGACTATTAATTCAAAAAGAAAAGTGTTTCCAAGTAAGTTTATACAAGAATAGCCATCATCAAAACCAAAGATATGTGATTTTCTATGTATAGCATCGATGCAAGAATAAATCAAACTTACTTCTAATGAAATTAATCTAGATGCATATGTACCTTCTGGACCCCATTCGATTTGAAATTGATCAGGATGAGAAGGAGTATAATTAATTGCATTCATCATCATTGTCATTTCCCGAAAAAAAAGGAAATAAGAAATGAAGAAAGGCTAGATTTAAGAGAGTTTATTGAACTTGGATTTTGGTTTTTAAGAAAAAAGAAGTGAGATTAGTTTCTAAAGGTAAAATGAAAAGATGATGAGATTTGATGAATTGAATTTGGTAATGATTTGTCAAATGAAAAAGATGACGTACTACTACTACTACCAAGAACAATTCAACTGAATCAAATTCAACACGGTTTCACAATTCATCATTTTCATCACCTCATCCCAACGTCGAGTCTTATATTTATACCCTTCTTTTCGGATCAAATTCTTTCACATCGGTTCCTTTTTCTTCTTTTCATCGGTTTAGAGATCACAAGAAAAAAAAAGTGGTGGTGGAGATGTATGTATGTACATATGTAGATCAACCCATCGGTGTGACTCTGGTGCTTTTTTTGA